AAAATTAGGGCCATGGAGACGCCCTGTAGCCTACTTGTCAAAGAAACTAGATCCAGTGGCGGCCGGCTGGCCCCCTTGTCTAAGAATGGTGGCAGCCCTGGCAGTCCTGGTCAAAGATGCCTTCAAGTTAACTTTGGGTCAGCCTCTTTGTGTTCGGGCCCCCCACGCTCTTGAGTCTCTCATCAGACAGCCCCCGGATCGGTGGCTCTCGAATGCCCGGATGACTCATTACCAGGCTCTGCTCTTGGACTCTGACCGCATCCAGTTCGGACCCCCCGTCGCTCTCAATCCTGCAACCCTGCTACCCAGCACAGAAGAATCCGACCCGCAGGGCGACCATGACTGTCATCGGGTTCTGGCTGAGGTTTCCGGCACCCGACCAGACCTAAGCGATAAGCCACTGGAGAAGGCAGATCACACTTGGTATACAGATGGGAGCAGCTTCCTCGAAGGGGGACAACGCCGGGCTGGAGCCGCAGTCACCTCAGACAATCAGGTAATATGGGCCAAGCCTTTGCCAGAAGGAACATCCGCACAAAAGGCCGAGCTGATAGCTCTGACGCAGGCCCTGCGGCTGGCAGAAGGTAAGAAGCTAAATGTGTACACGGACAGCCGATACACCTTCGCCACCGTGCACATCCATGGAGAAATTTACAAGAGAAGAGGACTTCTCACATCAGGAGGAAAAGAAATAAAGAACAAGACAGAAATCCTAGCACTACTGGAGGCCTTGTTCCTACCGAAAGAGCTCAGCATAATGCACTGTCCAGGCCACCAGAAAGGAAATCACCCAGAGGCAAGGGGAAACCGCCTAGCCGACCAGACAGCCAGGGACATCTCAGCATAATGCACTGTCCAGGCCACCAGAAAGGAAATCACCCAGAGGCAAGGGGAAACCGCCTAGCCGACCAGACGGCCAAGGACATTGCCTCCAAGAGTCAGGTTCTGACTATGCAAATGGACCCTGAACGCCAGAGACGGGAAGCCATCAGAGACTACACCCCAGAGGACAGAGAGTTACTCGAGAAAATTGGGGCTTTCAACAACCCAGAGACTGGCTACTGGGAGTACCAAGGAAAAACCGTCTTGCCTCAGCGATCGGTGGAAGAGCTCCTGGACGAGCTCCACAAATGGACCCACTTGGGAGTGAACAAGATGAGAAAACTGATTGAGAGGGAAGAAACAATCCTCTATCTGCTAAACAAAGATGCCATCCTACAAAGAATTGTTAAGAACTGTAAGGCCTGTGCCCAGGTAAACTGGGGCAAAAATAAAGCTTCAGGAGGAGTCAGACAAAGAGGCCACAGGCCAGGAGTCCACTGGGAAGTGGACTTTACTGAGGTTAAACCAGGAATGTATGGCTATAAATATTTGTTAGTTTTCATTGACACTTTTTCAGGATGGCCAGAAGCCTACCCGACCAAGCAAGAAACTGCAAGGGTGGTATCCAAGAAGCTATTAGATGACATCTTTCCCCGATTTGGGATGCCACAGGTAATAGGGTCAGATAACGGACCAGCCTTTGTCTCCCAGGTAAGTCAGAAGGTGGCCAGGTTACTGGGGATTGATTGGAAGTTACATTGTGCCTACCGGCCCCAGAGTTCAGGTCAGGTAGAGCGAATGAATAGAACCATTAAGGAGGCTCTAACTAAATTCTCGCTGGCAACTGGCACTAAAGACTGGGTTACTCTGCTGCCTTTGGCATTATACCGGGCCAGGAACACTCCTGGGCCCAGTGGGTTAACTCCGTTTGAAATCCTGTATGGGACCCCTCCCCCTGCAGTTTCCTTCTTAGACCCGGATATCTCTGACTTTGTTGATTCACCTTCCCTCTTTGCTCACCTGAAGGCACTCCAGCTGGCTCACCAGGAGATCTGGAAGCCCCTAGCTGCAGCCTATCAGGATGCTATTGACACTCCTATTGCACCCCACCCCTTCCAGCCCGGGGACGCTGTCTGGGTCCGGAGGCATCAGACTCGGAGCCTAGAACCACGCTGGAAAGGACCATACACTGTCCTCCTCACCACGCCCACAGCTCTCAAGGTCGACGGGGTTGCAGCCTGGGTCCACGCCTCCCACGTTAAGGCAGCCGATCCGGCTCACCAGGAACCCCCCAGAGAAGGACAATGGCAGCTGGCGCGGACTACCAACCCCCTAAAGATAAGACTGGTCAAAGAAAAATGCTAATCATGTTACTCTGGGTACATCTATTTACATATGAGTTTGCTCACAGTAATGAGAGCCCCCATAGAGCTGTGCCAACCACCTGGCAAGTAGTCAATCAAATGGGCATTGTAGTGTTTGAAGTCCATAAAACAGCACCAAAAGATACTTGGTGGCCCACATTATATCCAGATTTGTGCAAGCTAGCTTTAGGGGTATCAGAGCCTTGGGACTTAGAGGGAACCCATGACACTGTAACGGTACCCAAACTGGCGAGTCCTCCTGGGAGACTGGGACTGGATCCATGGGGAGGATGTGGGCCTCCCGAACACCGGGCCATGTTGCGTACCTTAACCTTTTATGTCTGCCCAGGCTTTCACAGGGCTGTATCTTTAAATCCTAAGTGTGGGGGAGGGGGGGATTTCTTCTGCAAAAACTGGGGATGTGAAACCACTGGAGACGCTAGGTGGGGTTCGTCCTCATCATGGGACTATATCACTGTGAAAGCAAATTATTCTCATGGGACTTTTGAGGATTGGAAAACTATTCATAAACAGGCCTGTGAACATGCATGGTGCCACCCCCTTCGCGTAGACTTCACCTCACAAGGTAAAAAGTCAACCCTAAATTGGGACAAAGGATTTACTTGGGGAATCAGACTATACAAGGAAAGGGGAGATGATGGCCTCCTTTTCACAATTAAGAGAAAGATATCTCCCCCACCTGCGGTGGCTATAGGTCCCAATCCAGTTCTAACCAGGGACCTCCCACTTCCTCCCCCTGCACCTCACAGTTCCAGGGATGGAACCCAGGGTCTCCAGGGCCCTGCACCTCCAATACCAGCAGGCACCCCGGACCCTGTAATAGTTCCAGGTCTGACTGAAGCCCCACCCACCTATCCTGGAACAGGTGAAAGGTTCCTAAACCTCGTCAGGGGAGCATTCCAGGCATTAAATCACTCAGAGTCAGATAAATCTAAGAATTGCTGGCTCTGTCTGAACCCGAGCCCCCCTTACTACGAGGGCATAGCCGTCCAGGGAAACTTCTCAGTACTACCAGCGAATTCTGCTGCCCCTCTCGCCTGCACCTCTTCCACACATACACTCACCCTGACCCAGGTTACCTTGACAGGCACCTGCATCGGAAAGGTGCCCACTGGATTTAAACATTGTCTTAAGAATAGCTCCCCCCTTACCCTCCAGGCCGACGCATACCTAGTGCCCCCTAATGGCACCTACTGGGCATGCAGCACGGGACTGACTCCTTGTGTCTCTCTCGCTGTTCTAAATCTAACCCAAGATTTTTGTGTCCTGGTACAGTTATGGCCCAGAATTTATTGGCATGAAGACAGCTATGTATTACAACATTATGAAGAGACACCTACCCCTGTCAGATTCAAGCGAGAGCCTGTGAGCATAACCTTAGCTGTATTATTGGGAGCTGGGGGAATAGCAGCGGGAATCGGGACAGGGGCAACTGCCTTAGTTCGCTCGGACCAGTTTCTGCTCCTTCATGAAGCCATGAACCAGGATCTAATAGCCTTAGAGGAGTCCATAAGAACCCTAAAAGACTCCCTGACTTCTCTCTCTGAGGTAGTGCTACAGAATAGAAGGGGACTAGACCTGCTGTTCCTAAAACAAGGAGGTTTATGTGCAGCCCTGAAGGAGGAATGCTGTTTCTATACAGACCAGACAGGAGTGGTAACTGAGACTCTAGATAAACTAAAAGAAAGACTACAGGAAAGAAAACGTAACTTTGAATCTCAAAGAAGTTGGTTTGAAAAACTATATGATCAATCCCCTTAGTTTACCACGTTAATATCCTCCATAGCAGGCCCGCTTATCCCTTTGCTCTTAATCCTAACCCTGGGACCTTGTGTACTTAATCGACTTGTCCAATTTGTGAAAGAACGGCTGTCTGTAGTGCAGGTGCTAGTCCTCACCAGCCAATACCAGGCACTGAGGACCCAAGACCCAGACATGTTATAATGAGTGAAAGATTCCACTCATATGCCCATAGAAAAAGAGGGGAATGAGAAAATAAAAAGGAAACTAGGTGCCATGAGTGCTCAGGGGCCCACAGCCCACCTGTTAAAAATTGACAAAAACCAGGACCAGCCTTATCAAAAGGCTGCAGGACGGGCAGGCGCCGGTCAAGCTTCACAGATCAAGCCATAAACAAGTTTTATGGATAGAACTCCTGACCACCCTGAGGGCCCGATACCAGGAAATCGAGGGAAAAACACCTGTGCCTCTGAGGTCACCTCCCATTTAGCAATCCCACTTCCCCTTAGCCCCAGCCCTTACCCCATATCTCTGCATACTTTTGAAATTATTGTGTGTGTTTGAATTAACCAATAACTGCGCTTCTGCTTCTGTACCCTGCTTCTGCCTTATAAAAACCCCCTGAACTCAACCTGAGGCGCGCAAGTCCTCCGAGGAGACTTTGTGCCCACAGGTACCTGTGTACTAAATAAACCTCTTGCTGTTGCAACCCAAAGGCTGACTTGTCCTCAGTGGTCTCACTCTTACAATTCAAAAGCCTATATTATATAACTTGAAATGAAAAGGGAAATTCATCTTAGCTAACCATGAAAACCTCTCATAATTTTTCATGATAAACCTGCAATGTGAAAAGAAAGATTGCTGACTGAACTTTAAAAGTGATAAATGCAAGAAAGTATTTCACTTAATTATCAAGACACCCACTTAAGAGTATTTCTCTGCACATTGGTGTGGATTGAGTAGCCTTTAGAAATCCCTGTAAGGACTGTATTTTATGAATGTTTCAGAATTTGAGTGTGAGAATACCAAATAGTGAGTAAGGAAAAGTATCTTTGTGGAAAGAAGTTAGAGACCAATTAGATAAACGCCCACAGAAAGGTTGTAACTTCACTAGGAAATCTTCAAATCAAACTCTATACCACCACTAGCTATATTTCTGAGTGGAATTTAAGAATCATATGTATGGATAGTGAGTCAAGCCATAAGTAGTCAGTATTAAATACTAGAAGTCAATAAAATGATATTCGGTAAAATATTTGCCTTTTGTAAATATGTTTACATCATCTTTTTTATGTGCGTGTATGTAATATGAAACATTCTCTAAATGGAGGACTGAGGACTTACTAATTTTAAGTCCTTGCAGAGGGAAAAGATAAAGAGACCATGTCAGGTTATTAAAGAGTTCTTTCTTAAGTGAATTCACAAATATGATTAAATATGGAACAAAAAGCTTGTTTCTAGGACTATTCCAATTGCTCTGCCTCGACTAGCTTCTTAACCAAACTTAGTTAAACCCCTTAGCATAGATTGCTAAGTCCCTCCTCAACTTGTCCCCACCCCCATCCATCTTCCCCTGGCTCCTGATCTGCTTGACACACACCGGCCCACCCAGGACTCTGATAAGTCAGATCCTGATCATCATGTGTCTAGTCCATTCCCCTGCAGCCTCAACACTTCCAATCTACCCCACCCCACCGTGTCCCATACATTCAAAGATGAATTTTTGAAGACTTATGATTTGATGATAGAACCATGATTTTGCCTTCTAAAATATGTTAACAGGATTAATAAGTAAGCAAAAATTAATACATAATCTGTATTTTCAAAATCATAGACAAAAATGTTAGTAGGTAGACTAAATCACTGATGGGAAAGAAGAGGGAGAAAGGCAGTTAAGGTAGAAAGAGAAATTGTAGTTCATAAGAATGCCACAGTAAATGCTTTAAAGCCAATCACAAGAAACACACAGTAAATACCAGCAGTCCAGAGACTAACACAAAGCAGATGACTGAAGGTAGAGTGAAGTCTCAGCAGAAGGGACAGCAGCACATAGAACCCACAGCAAAAGCTGAAAACTAGAAAGCATTTTTTAACTTTAAAAGAATTTTGTTTATTTTTATTTATTTATTTGTTTTTTATTTTTTGTATTTAGGAAACATTTTATTGTTTTTTTAAAAAAAATTTTTAGAAGCATTTCATTACAGCTTCAACATACTCAATAACAATTTTTGTGTTTTTTATACTTGAAAATTCCTTCCCACTAAAAAAAAAG